CCTGCTGTGTGCCTGTCTGCTGCAAGCCTGCCTGCTGTGTGCCTGTCTGCTGCAAACCTGTCTGCACCCCTGTGAGCTGTGGGTCCAGCCCCTGCCAATTGGTCTGCACCAGCTCCTGTGAGCCTTCCTGCTGCCAGAAGTCTGACTGTCAGCCATCCTGCTGCACATCCTCCCCCTGCCAGCAGCCCTGCTGTGTGCCTGTCTGCTGCAAGCCCGTCTGCTGTGTGCCCGTCTGCTGCAAGCCTGTCTCCTGCAAGCCTGTCTGCTATGTGCCTGTGTGCTGTGGAACCTCCTCCTGTTCATCCTCCTCAAGCTGCCAGCCTTCTCCCTGTGCCCCTTCCTGCTGCAAACCCTCCTCCTCAATGTCCCTCATCTGTAGCCCTGTGTGCAAGCCCGCCTGCTCTGCCCCTGCCTCATCCTGTATGTCACTGCTCTGCCGCCCTATGTGCTCCCGCCTGGCCTGTTGTGGTCCCTCCTCCAGCCAGAAGTCCTGCTGAGGAGTGGGTGCACCTTCCTCTGGCACTTTCAATAACTGCATCTTACCAAGTGGTGACTACTCATGACCTCCTGAAATGAGTGAACAGAGCATCCTTCCTCTAAGCCCATGAGGGACTCTCTAACCCTCCAGACAACACTGCCTGTGCCCACTACCTCCTACTCCTTGGGGCTGCGTAATCAGACCTAGGAATAGCCCCTGTACTCTAGGCTCTTCTTCTTGGAGAGTTGCTCTGCATTCACTTGGCCCACAACCAGGAGCCTGCTTGAAAAACTAATAAATGTGTCTTTATTCTATCTTGATGAGGGTTAATTCTTTCTGGTCATTTCTAGTTGCCATGGGACCAGGGGCAAGTATGACTTCCTATGCCCTTGACGTGTGGTCTCAGCCCAATGCCCTCCAGCCCATCCTGAGAGAGCCCCCCAGACATACACTGTGCTGACCTGGCTCCTGAGTCCCACCCACAAGACCTGTTTGGTCCCTGGGATGGTCGATACCACAGTCACCTCACATTTAGCCCTATCCCCGCTGAGGCCCCAGAGCTGGACTCGGGCAGATTCACAGGGTCAGTGCTGTCCCAGGCACTGTACTGGTGGCTGACCTTGGGGGGACCCTTGAAGAGTCCCTTCTCCGAGGGAGCCTCAGTGCCTGTAGAGAAGGAACTGCTAGAGAACACAAACATGGGGTCTCCTAAGGCAGAGAGAAAGCAGCAGATGCAGGCTCCCAGTCTGGGGAGCCAGGGTCAAGTGCCCCCAAGCCTCTTCTCCTTCCTTGTGTTTGGGAAACAGTCCCACTCCCTTCTCCTGCACCTCCAGTCTTGTAACACAGTTCCAAAAACTGTGTCTCACAGTTCTAGAGACTGAAATTCGAACTCCCTGTGTCCTCAGGGCCATGCTCCCTCTGAAGGCTCTAGAATCTTTACTTGTCTCTCCCAGTTTCTGGTGACTTCTGGCATCCCTGGGCATTCTTTGGCTTGTAGCCACACTACTTCAACCTCTGCCTCCATCTTCCCATGGCCATCTTCCCAAAGTGGATCTCTGGAACTCCAAATCCCCCTCTCCTTGTAAGAACACCAGTCATCGGATTTAGAGACCAGTTAAAGACCCTATTTCTAATAGTATCACTCTATTCACAGTGGTCTTTGTATACATAAATTTTGGGGGAACAACTCTCAATGTACTAATGGTGGAAACTTCCCTTTTGACTGCAAATATCCTGAAGTCTTTTCTAATAAAAAAAATAATAATAAAACTGAACTCCCATACCTGATCATTATACCACTACTGATTCATGAAGGGTCTGCACCCACCTCACAGGAAGTTCCCTGAATCTGCTCCTGGTTCCATTCCCTGCCTTTTCCTCCTCCCTCTGCCCTGCCCCTCTGTGACCCCCAGGATAGCAATGCAAGTTGGTCCTTACTCATCCTTGCCCTGCAGGTTTTCTCCAGCTCTCTCTCTTCATCTTTGGTCCTTCTTTCTCTTCACCCCCATGAACCAGTCTTCTCTCACACTTAGTAATGTTTATTGTAACCCCTGGTGTGGCTCTGTGAGTTAATGGTCCTGACTGCAAAGGCGTTTGAACTGCAAAGTTGAGGATTCAAGCTTACCAGCTGCTCCTCAGAAACCCTATACGGGGTAACTATGGGTTGGAACTGACTAGAGGACACTTAACAACAACAACTGTGACCTACCACCAGGCCTCAAATCATGACAATGACTTGTGGCCACCTGGAGGCCATAGAAGTGAGCTAGCTTCTTTCTTTCATCATCTCTCCCCTGCACTTCCCCTCCCTCCATCCATGCCCTAGGCCCAGCAACACTGCTCTTCAGTCACCAAGGTTGTCCTCCATCCTGCCAGACATGTTTGGGGCCTGGCCCTGAACCTGGCCCTGGCCCTGGCTCAGTCCAACTGTGGTTCTGGGTGGTGCAGACTGGGTGGTGTCAGACATAGACTCCATTCTCTGCCAACAGCTGATTCACAGATAAGGATGTATCAACCAGGCAAGGATGACACATCTGAGGAGAGCCTGGGCTTGAGGGTTCCTGGCAAAGCTAGAAATCATCCTAGGGAATATCTTTTGGGAGGAAAGTAGGCATTTGGTCCAGTAGAAATCACCAATCCTAGAGACAGATGCTGGAGAGTTTGGTAATTCAAGGGGACTCACCCTTCCAGAAGTCATCCCTGGGTGTCACAAATAACTAAACACTAAAATTGCTAGCTATAAGGTTGGAGGTTTGAACCCACCCAGTGGTGTCTCAGAAGAAAAGCCTAACAGTGTCTACTTCTCAAAGGCCGCAGCCTTGAAAACTCTATGGAGCAATTCATCTTCAAAGAAAGACCATCAGGAAAAACCCAAAACAAAAATGGCAGTATGACTGGCTACTACAAGAATAAGCAAGTTGTTCGTGGGAGGCCCTCAAGGCAAGCAATCAAGTTCCCTCAGGACAAAGCCCCCCTCGAAGACTGAAACTCAAAGGGAACACACAAAAAGGCATGTAAGCTTGCTAACAACCACATTGTTCTACTGGTGAATGGAAGAGGGGGAAAGGCAGCAATGAAGAAATGGGCTGAGTTCAACCACATTCCATACACTCCTGTTAACTTGGAAATGAGAGAGAGAAGAGGAAGGGCTTTTTGGTCCAAAGTGTGGTGAGACCTGGGGACACCTGAGCCCATGGACAAGGACATAGCCACAGAGGGCTGGAGCTGAGAATGAAGTGTCCAGCTGATATGAAGTGAGGGGAGATGCACAAGAACAAACTTGCAGATGGTACCCATCTGACCTAGCCTCGATGACTTGATAATCAGAACTTGACTAGAGGAAGATAAAAAAATAAAGAACAATTTTGGAAATGAGGGTAAGTTGCTACAATTTGATAAACTTGACCTATATTCATGAGGCAGTAGCTCTAAATACCAACAGAGAGGGAAGGAGTCTTCATATCAAGTATCAATACTATCCCCTCTGTATACAGGGGAGATAGGGATGGGCAACTTAGACACTGACTATCTAAAATGAGGGGTGATAAAGGCACGAAGTGACTGGCCTACAAAGTTTCAAGAGGGAGTTTAATTTAAGAGTTTGTGAGGGAAGATAGAGTTCCCACTGAATAGTTTTCATCTTGTCTAGATGGGTCTGGTTAAAAGAGATGGGGTAAGATTCTTATGATTCAATAGTGAGTAATTGTTATCATGACTAATTGTAACTGTCACAGTGTTAAAGAAGTTTTGTAACAAAAACGGGGGAGTAGTTAATCTTACAGTCCAGAAACAGAGGACCCTAGGACCATCAAGGGAGAAGAGCACAAGCGGAATGAGGAACCTTATCCAGAGAAGCAGGGACACCAGAGATGGAGGCAGACACGGGGACATGGAGAGAGGGAGCAGCTGAGTACTCTAGATTCATGGGAAGGGAGGGACTGAGAGAGCTGGCAGCCAGGAAGCAGACTTGCAGAATGTGCCCTTTGGTGGTTTAAATTATTATATATACCTAAGTGTTTTTTCAAAAACAAGAGCTAAAATGTATAGAGAGAAATACTGTTAACTGATGGTACATGGAGGTGATTATAACCATTGTAATGAAACAAAGAATATGATTTGTTAAATGTAAAACTAATGATCTGCCCTGTAAACTTTCACTCAATTCACAATAAAAACTTTTTTTTTTTTAATTTCTTAAACAACTCTATGGAGCTGATTTGCTATGGACACATGGGTTGCCATGAGTGGAAATCAACTTGATAGCAATTAACAACAACTTCCTTCCTGGGTATGGCTATTACACTGGCTAAAATAGGATGCTGTAGATAGAAAGGAGTGGGGTAATCTGGGATCCTGGTGTGGTGCTGTAGGATCAGCACTGGACTTTGAACCACAAGGTCAGTACTTTGAACACACCTTGGAAACCCTATACAGGGTTGGTATGAGTCAGAACCAGCTTGACAGCACTTAACAACATCAATAACAACAAGCTAGGATAGGAGCTGCCCTTAGCAGGGGCAGTGACATCTGCCTGTTCTTGGCTGAGTGCCCTGTCCCCATCTCTGGTCTATGAACCTGAAGGGCAGGTAAGAGGCAGGCTAACCAAGAAGAGAAATCGAGGCATGCCCTTCCCCAGAGCACTCTCTTCATTCAGAGTGATGAGGAAAGCAAGAGAAAATCCCTCAAAGGTTTTGATAGACGCTTGGTTTTGTCAGAATGTGCTTATAGCCATGTGTCTTTGTTTCCTAGTGTTGCTGAAACAAATGCACCACAAGTGGATGACCTCAGAAAACAGAAATTTACTTCCTCACATTTCAGAGGATGAAAGTCCAAATCAGGGACTTCCTTCCTTGTCAGGAGTTCCAATTATTTCTTGGTTCATTGACCTATAGACAATTCTAACATGGTAGCTGTCTTCCCCCTTTGTTTTCATATCTCTCCTTTTAATCTGCTTTTTAAAACAATAACTCAGGAGTGATTCGTTTTAGAACCCAACCTAGTCAGTATGGAGTCCTGGTGTGGCACTGTAGGATAAGCACCGGGCCAAAAGGTCAGTTTGAATCACAAGATTAGTTGTTGAAACTCACCAGCTGCTCCTCTGAAAACCTATACAGGGTCACTACTGAGTCAGAACACAGGACAACAGTTAACAACAATAACAACTAGTCAGTATGACCTAACAAAGAAAAAACCCTCTTTCCAAACAGGATGATATCTACAGATATGTTGTTGTTAGGTGCTATTAAGTTGGTTCTGACTAATATCAACTCTATGCACAATAGAACGGAACACTACTTAGTCCCACACCAGCCTCACAACCATTACTATGTTTGAACCCATTGTTGCAGCCACTGTGTCAATTCAATCTTGTTGAGGGTCCACAAGTATAGGGATTAGAATTCCAACACACATTTGGGGGTGGGACTACAATTTAACCAATAACACCATGAAATGATGGCACTAAACCTTAGTTTAGGGCAAAGTAGAGTACAGTTTATTAATTTTATGGTCAAGGGATGC